TTCAACAAAAACAAATTGAACATTAAACTCAAAACCTGTGTCCTTAAAAGTGTTCCAATATTTGTACTAAAGAAGTGTAAGAGTGTTAGAGTATGTGTGGCTCATATTTTGTTATGTGCATAATGGCAAGGAGGCAGATGCCGGAGCGGAGCCCGCGACGGCATCTGCCTTGCGGGATTTATATATAGGGGACGCTGATAAGTTGGGGGTGCGGGGGCAACGCCCCGCGGTACGGTACAGGGGTATTTTTGTAAATACGTCCATATTAGGGTTATATAAATACTTAAAATGTAACCCTACTTCAATAAGGAAAAGAACAGCCGCTCGCTCTCGTGGATGTAGGCACATTGCCGAACCACGTAAATCTCTGTGTGTTATTTTCTCCTGCTTTCTTAATTGTTTGATTCCTTACTATTCACCATAATTGATGCACGATCACAACAAAGAGCCTATGATTCCCATCAAGAAGCCCATAACTACAAGTCTACAATTCCACATACCATCATTAATTCTTGATAAGTTCCATAAATCTTCAAATTGCCCAGACATGGAAGCAAAATCGAATCTGTGACACTCAAAAGTACTCCAACAAATTACTTGACGTTCCCAAAATAGAGGACGGCTCGGGCTACAACGACGTTGCTAATCACCAAGGTGGTGTTGATCAAAGCTCCACCATCTTTGTAGCAAGATTGTTATGTGCACATTTTTAATATATTTTTTATATATAATTTGAGGTAATTATTAGAGAGCTATTTTAGTAATTGAATTAGTGATAGAATATTTTGTAGGTGGTTACTAAGATAGTTGAGTCATTGGTTAAATTAGTTATTAAGGTGGTTTTTGTTTTATCTATACTATTTTACAATATCAGTATATTTGAAAAACTTTTTTTTTCACGTTTACCCTCCACTAACATAACTATACCATCCTTATCTTCCATAATTTAATAATACAATAAACCTAATAATCACTTCAAACATATTTCTCACCTGTTATCGTCTCTCTTGCTCCCTGTTCCTTTCCTTTCCCTTCCCCTTCCCCTTCGGTTATATCCTTTATTTTAGACATCCTTTTGAGGCAGCATGCAAGTGATGCAACATATATATATACATATGATCGTTAATCTTTCTTTCACAATGACTTGAGGAATTTTGCTGCGGCGGACTGTGGTGTTCTTGGCTGTTGAGGATTCCATTCGAGTTTCATAACTACCCAAGGTGGTTTATTCAATCCAACAACTCTCTGAGTGAGCCTTCAAAACCTTTTTTCTTTAGTTACATAATACTAACATTTTTTTGGTTGTTTAACCTCTCCGTTGTATGAATTTGATCAAAAAATACCGCAGTCGAACACAGCTGACCAAAGGATGGTAAGAGGAAGACCAAAAATAGACAACAAAATCATGTCGATGCCAGTGTTCAGGTTTATGTTTCTCATTGCATCTATGTGTTCATCTAATTTCGTACTTGTTTTGAGTTTCCAATTTGTTTTCCGATTTTGGGGTTTGGTTCCCCAAGAGACTTCTCATAATAGTCTTTTGTGATCTTTTGTTGAATTGGATTTTGAATTTATTTTATGGTATTGGTTTTTTGTATGTTTAAGTTGGTTGGACATCTCTACAAAATTATATGTTGGATAAGATTTGTTAATAGTTATTAATTTGGCTTTAAAAATTTTGTCTATTATGTGATGGGTATTCGAATCTTCATGCACTCTATTGCTATTTATGTTCATAAACTTGTGTTGGCACTTGGCAAAGGTACAAGCAATGCAAAATGAATATATTGTTAATTAATGTACTTAAATTTATTAAAAATTGTTGAATCCTTTTAATGGCCTTTCGCAAACACACCCCCCCCCCCCCCAAAAAAAAAAAACAACCACACAAGATAAAGTAGAAAAAATAGCAAAATGGAATTTGACTTTATTAGGCTGGAACATAAAAAACCTGTTGGAACCCCTTCAAGGGCCCTTAATTTGTCACTCACCCATACAGAGAAGTTTGTACAATGACGAAGTTTGGACAACATTCAATGGTTGAATTGCTACAACTTTTTTGGGTTGAGGAAGGGTTGTGGGCATCCTCCTATAATAGTTAATTGTGCCTTTGGGTAGAGTACGTCCTATGATCAATTGAAGGTTTTGTGCCACTTGAACACAAATCTATCTTAACTTCAATCCATTTTTGAGGGGGGTTCGTNGGAAGGGTTGTGGGCATCCTCCTATAATAGTTAATTGTGCCTTTGGGTAGAGTACGCCCTATGATCAATTGAANGTTTGGACAACATTCAATGGTTGAATTGCTACAACTTTTTTGGGTTGAGGAAGGGTTGTGGGCATCCTCCTATAATAGTTAATTGTGCCTTTGGGTAGAGTACGTCCTATGATCAATTGAAGGTTTTGTGCCACTTGAACACAAATCTATCTTAACTTCAATCCATTTTTGAGGGGGGTTCGTGGTGATGGTGATGGAAATTTTCTCAGTGTCTTATTTTTATGAGTATTTATTAAAGTTTTGTTTTTTATAATAATTCTTTAGCATGTTTAAGTATTGGATTTAATACTTAGTTACAAATTAGACTACATTATACAAGAGTCCTATCAATGACTATGAGGAGCAACTGGCTGTGAATGAATTTTCGGTTGAGAGACAGATTGAGATCAAGACTTTCCTGCCCCCTCCCCCTCCAAGGAAAAAAAAAAGATAAAGACTTTCATAGTGCTGTAATCCTGATATTAAGCAAAAAAGTGAGAAGCTCCTCACACCAAACTGGAATCACTAATCTAATTCTTGTGCTGCTTTCCAATCCAAATATAGAAAAATTCCATGGGTAGCATTAAAGAACTCATGCAACATCATGAAGCAATTAAAACTCACACAGGTGTCATTCTCATTAAAAAAAGGGTTATCTTTTAAGGCCGAGTGAATTCAACTCTAGACAAGTCTACAACACAACTCATTACATTATTCTATAACGAAAAAACTTTAAAAGTTTAGAATAGCTGCCAGTGAATATGAACTCGACAACTAACAATTTCATGTCTTTTTTTTTAAAGGTAAATAAACTATATTGAAACAGGGGATGAACAAGGTGTATCAATACAAGCAAAGGAACACCCAAGGAAACAAAAGGATAACTCCTAGCAAAATGCATCATTCAACAATTAAACAAAACATTCAAGTAACAGGTCCCAATGGAGTGCCAATTGCAGATTAGTCTAAGAAGGGTTGAACTTGATGGAAGCCATTCTGTTTTTGATAGCCAAATGGATAGGTTGGGAAAGAGTATTAACATCCTTGCTCTCCATGGAAGCCATTATGTTTCGTGTCATGTACAAGATAATCATGAAAAGCTCTCAAAGAAAGAATTCTTCCCTCATTTTTTGCACAATTGAAACAGAAGTGGTCAACAATCGATTGGCTCATACTTGTAAATTAGACTTATTATCTAATTATCTTATATCAAATTGAAAGCAAGGTATGTTTGATTTAGAAAAAGTCTTTGCTCAAGTGTTTTGGGGCTAAGAACGAATGAATTCCTATCCCACTACGCAAGGTATGTATACAACATAGAAATGTGAGTTAGTAAATTTCCAACAAGAAATATGAAAAACTAAAAATAAATTATGAGAAATGTACTTTTTTTCAGTTGCTGAAATATACTTATCATCCCGTAATCTTCATCACCTAAAGGTTTGAGTAAACATCACCAATTATTTACAACAACTACATCACTAGCTATGGATGATTGATGAGGCGATGCAGTATTAGCTTTATTCATTCTTTCACAACTCTTCAAATGAAACAATAGGGAGAAGAGGAAGGAAGGTGGAGAGAAGGTGAATTGTTTTTTGATATCCAGTAATAACAAAATTCAAGTGACTTCTCAATTTCATTCCTCTATGAATGTCCTAAACTTTGGAATAAACAAAATTTTGATAATAATTATATAGAATAATTTATATTCAAAATGATTTACATGCAAAATATTTTAAATAATTATATATAATAATTTATATTTATAATGATTCAAGTGCAACGCACGTGTGTATCAACTAATTGTATTTAAAGTTCTTCGTATCAATGAAATAGATATGTTGAATATTGTATTAATCTTTCTTGTGAAGTTTTGGATGGTTCTATTGACAATGATAGCCTTTGCAACTAAAGGATCGTCATGAGGGTGCTGGAAACTTTCCAAATCTGAGTCCGTGAACATGATCTCCATGCTTAGCCGGGGGGTGTTTTGGATGCAGACTGTATCTCCAGAATATCTTTAGCTCGGGCTTTCCTCATGTGGGCTTTTCTGGTCTAGCTAGTTTCACCACATCTGACAAATCCTCCAGAAAATAAATTGATTTAAGTACTTAATTAAACCAAACTGTTTGATAAATACACAGAATTAACGTTTGAAAATAAATTAACTTTTAGTTTTACCCTTCTATTCTTTAATTTAAAAATATTTATAAAATATGTGTGTAATTATATATGTATTTTTTTTTGTTGGACAACACGAGGAATTTAAAAAAAAAAAGACAAGGAAGAAATTTACATGTTACCCGCTAAAGAAGACGATCACCTAAGAGGATAGATAAGTTGGGGATTTTGGATAGAAGACTAATTAAAGTTTTAATAGGATTGTAAAATATTTTGGGACATAGTTGTCATATTTTAAATATTATTAAAGAAGTTTTGCTAATCGCTTTCAGTTTTTAGAATTAAGTAAGAGATCTCATACTTAATATTGTAGCCTATTTTTAAGGAGCACTTAACATATTGAGAGAATTTAAGTTTTGGTTTTCAAACAGGTTTAATTAATAAGTGTGAAATGCATTCATGTCTAAAAATTATAGCAAATTATAAAACAAAATTTATTGAAAACTGGATACAAAGCCAAAATCGTTACAAGTGTTCTATTATTTGTTCTAAAGACGTGTAAGAGCCGGTGATTCCAATCAAGAGGCCCATAACTACAATTCCACATATCAACACTAATTCAAATCGAAATTACTGATATGTACCAAAAATCTTCAAATAGCACATACACGGAAGCAAAATCGAACCTGACACTCAAAAGTGCTCCAACAAGTGACATGAGAAGCCCAAAAAAGGGGATGGCCAACGCTACAACGACGCTGCTGACCACCATGGTGATGCTGATCACAAAGCTCAACCATCTTCTATTGCAACAAGATCTCAATCGATTTTCAGCAGCATGGACAATTGGCATAACCATCAATGCATATTTTGAAATGGGATTCACCAGGCTGGTGTAAATTGCCTCTTGAACTATTTTCTCGGTTGGAAGGTTTAATGTTACTTGTGACTCTACCTGTGAACCAAACATTAGGTACCCAAAAACTTCCATTGATGCGTAGGTAATGGTACACAACAGAAAGCATGGGAGCAAGACCTGCAATGAAGACCATGGAGTCAAAATCAGTAATCCAAAGGTCTAAAGGACTCGAGGTATGATTCGAAAACCTTGCTTTACCTTATAGAAGTGTTTTGGATTTCTCATAGACGTGTGTAGGGTGGGGAAAACCGGATGAGCTCAATAACAAAACGGGAATAGGCTAACAGAGGTAGGTATTCCATTCCAATTCAGAAGCATTCCATTTTCTTGAAATCCAATGCCATCAAGCGCGCCAGCCCACAAAATCGAATCGAGGATGAGGAAAGAAGCTAAAACTCCAGTGGCAGAGATATATGAGAGAAAGCTTATGCTGTTTAACCAAACAGTTGGGAGTATAATGAGGCCAACAATTAGAACAAAGCATTGTCTTCCACCAATTCTAAGCCCGAAAATTTCAAGAACTCCCATGTCTGGAAATAAGTTACACAGATTATCCCCTTCTACAATTAGGAAACTTGTTGCAACCAAGTAGAGTTCAGAATTCATGATAAAGGATACAAAAATTCTTCCTTTTGTACCAAATGCTCGTTCGCCGATATCAGGATAGCTTCTTATAGATGTATCTATATCCATACACCTTGGAATTAACAAGCCTGTGTAGAAGGATGTGCTGTCAAGCTTAACCACCCTCCTGATGCTAATGCATATGGTACCGATTATATTCCAACTCCTGAGAAATAATTGTTGAAGCACATGAAAAACAATCAGGACTATGTTTAGCATTATACATCACCCAATAGCGAAGTACTATTTGGGTTAACGGATAAGGTTTTTTGGTACTTCAAATTTATCATTATTATTATTATTACAGCAAGTAGATAGTAGATTTAAGCTGGGTCTTCACCTCCTCAAGGTAGGGCTGATTATATCAGATAGACATGTAAGTCTAAACGAGATAAAATTGGGACTTGTAAAATAGAGCACTTCATATATAGTATCACATCAATGATTGAATGATTAGGAGTAATAAGGCATAGCTGAGCAGTCACAAAATCACAAACAGATACACAATAAGTTCCTAACACACAATAAAACTAAACATAAAAGGAACAAAACACTGATGAAAAAGAAGGAAAAAAACCTGATAAAGCGTTGAGACCATTAAAACAGGTCTTGAAGAAGGAGGTTGTGCCTGTAATGGAGTGGCAACCTATTGAATCCACTCCCTCAGCTTCTTCCAACCTAAGCTTATGCTGCTTCTCATCATTGCCAAGCAGTTGCGGTATGGTTACAGAACACCCATCACGTGGTTTCGCTTCCATCGGAGACAGAAAAACACAGTCCCAATTGGTGGGCTAGGCGTTTGAAGGCAATCTTGTATCTTTTATTTATAACGATGATTGTTTAGTTTTGTGCATTTTTCACGTGGTCCCAACTTTCCCATACCTAGATTACATGGAACAAGAGTGGATTTAGAAATGTAATGCATTATGGTATTTTCCTACGTAGAAATGTAATACTATTGTTCTTATTTAATGCGTTAAAATATTAAAAGACTTCTGACTTGACTTGGAATGCGCGCCATGTACTTCTTCTTCTTCTTCTTTATTAAAAAAAAAAACAATTAGATTTTATTGAGACTGGAGCAAATATATGAAAGAAATAGAGACAGTAAAAATTCAGGAGTATTATCACAAAATGTAGTGTTGTCTAAATTCCTTAGGTTGTGCCAAGCAAGGCCTTCTGCTTTAGAAAACAAAAACAAAAAAAAAATTAGAAGACTTGTTTCGACCTTCTTGAACATGAATCCAATTTGAAAATCTAATTAATTGTCGTTGTTGGATTAAAAATGAGTTAGCTTCATTTAACACAAGAACTAACAACTAATTAATAATATAATTAAATTAAATTTCTTATTACATCCTTAAATTAAATTTTTTGGAGAATTACACTTACACCCTTTGAAATTTGTCATTTAATCACTCATACCCCTGGTATTTAAAATATTACACTTANATCTAATTAATTGTCGTTGTTGGATTAAAAATGAGTTAGCTTCATTTAACACAAGAACTAACAACTAATTAATAATATAATTAAATTAAATTTCTTATTACATCCTTAAATTAAATTTTTTGGAGAATTACACTTACACCCTTTGAAATTTGTCATTTAATCACTCATACCCCTGACATTTAAAATATTACACTCAGACCCTCTAAAATTTGTACGCGTGTAACACTTAGATCCCTATTGTAAATATATACATTAATAAATTACTGCCTGAAGTTTGTAAACATATATTATTTAGACCCTTTTAAGTTTAAAACGTTATATTTATACCAAAAATATTTCAATTAAAGATATAATATTAAATATTTTAAATTTTACAATTAAAATTTATGCTCTATTGTATCATTTATTGAAATAAAATAAAAATTTTAAATTTAAATTTTTCTTAAAAAATCGTAATTAATATACAATTATATTGTCTATTAAACTTTAATTTGATCGTTTAAACGACCAAATTAAAATACCAAATTATCCCAATTAAAGATAAAAGATATTGTGTTCATTATAATTTGACCTCTTGCTTAATTTTTTAGTTTTATTCTCATAGATATTATAATTGTATACTAACTATGTTTGTTTTAAATTCATGTTCTATTAAGAATGGTTTAGACCCCTTGTTTGATTTTTTTTACTTTTATTCTAATAGATATTATAATTGTATACTAATTATAAATTTTTAAGAAAAGATTGAATTTTTATTTTTGATTTTATTTCAATAAATGATACAATAGAACATGAAATTTGATTGTAAAATTTAAAATATTTGATATTCTATCTTTGATTGGAGTATTTTTGGTCTAAGTATAACATTTTGAATTTAAGAAACCTAAGTATTATATACGTACAAATTTCAAGGAGGTCTAAGTGTAATTTATTAACTGATATATTTACAGAAAGGGTCTAAGTGTTATGCACGTATAAATTTTAAGGGATCTATGTATAATATTTTAAATGTCATAGGGTTTAAGTGGTTAAGTGATAAATCACAATGAGTTTGATTGTAATTTTTCCTAAATTTTGAGTAATACTAGATGAATTTAAAAATTAGATTTGATAATATCAATCATTAAATAGATAGTGAATTCTAATAAATGTTGACACCCACAATAAAATTAATTATTTAAATTATTAGTTTGTAAATCTAATTTTGAAGTACAGTTATCATTCCTCCTAAATTTTTATAACATTACTTCTACGTGGTCTGTGGAACTTCATCGGAACAAGTGCATTAATTGGTGTGCATTGCACGTGGCTAAATCATCTCCACATGGCTTTGAGTGGGTCCACTCATAATTGTAGCATTTATGGTAGCTACCTGCATTTTCTGTGCTCCTCTTTATTTGAATAAACACGTGCGATTTCGATTATTATTATTCTTGCATGAACTATGATCTCACTCTTACTCTTTGCGACAACCACTAAAATATTATAAAACGATTAAAAAAGGACATAACTTATTCAACTTTAATTTCAATTTGAATTTCACTTTTAACTCTTCAATCTGAGTATTACTCATCTTCGTAGGTGAAAATTGGGTGAAACTTTAAGTTAAATAATTCAGGATAAATTTGGATTCAACTCAAATTTAGTTGTGAAATAACACAATTCTGGAAAGAATTTAGGTTTGATTCATATTGAACACGGTTTAGAACCCAAATTCCGACTCTTGATTTCAGTATTCGGACTAAAATTCGAATTCCATTTTAGATTGGTTTCTGTTGGACCTCATTAGCCCCATACACCCTACACGTTTGGTCAAGCTTCAATTTTAGATATTTTTACCCAATTCCGTGGTGTGCTCAAATATGGGCCCCATTAACTGCCCTCAAACTTGACTTNAAGCTTCAATTTTAGATATTTTTACCCAATTCCGTGGTGTGCTCAAATATGGGCCCCATTAACTGCCCTCAAACTTGACTTCACAAACGAACCCCTTATAAAATGCTCTTATTTGGGCCAGGACCGATATTTATAGGTTAAGCCCATGCCAACCCCCATGCTACCTTCAAAATGGACAGAGTGGGAATGACTGTCTAAAATGGTTCTAACCCAAGTTACACTTGGGACGATAAGGAGAATTCAAAAATCCATGGTGGTTCATTAGTTAAATCTGATCTCAGGTAATTCTGAGGCTTTAGGTTTAATATTGTTCATACCTTTTAAAGGCCAATTATCATTGTTATATAGGGGACATAGTTTTAAATTTGCTCTGACTACGGTGGCCAGTATCCGACTTTGAAGGAATAATCGACCCAATAATAAAAGACTGGTTACACATATTCGAAATTCAAAACTATATAAGAATTTAAATTTATGTACACTGACTTCATTCATATTATATTAACATGAGGGCAATTGTTTTTTTTTTCCTTAAATCCAGTAAGTAGTATCAAAGCAGTTGCTGCATAATCTGATTTCATGATTTATCGTTCAGAAACCATTCAACAAGCTCTCTACTTATTGGTAGATTTTGTAAATCATTTTAAAAACTAAATTTGTAGATGTCAATGAACCACACATTAATAAATAAAATAAGATTTGATGACGTGGAGGGATCCTTATCCTTCAAAAATGATTGGAGGATCTTTCAATTATTTTAGAATTGGAGGGGACCAACACCACAACAAAAAATAGATTCAACTAGGAAAAAATATTTGTCGCAATGGTTGTTGGTAGAAGCCCATGGGTGAAAATATTTATAGGCAAAATTTGGTTTCCTAAGTAAAAGTATCACATTTACCGATGAAATTCGGTATCCTACGTAAAAACATAGGTTTTTCCAAGGAAAATTTTCACCAATAATTGTCTTAAATTTTGTGATTGATTAATATAAATCGTAGGAAAAAATGACTGGGAAGTGAAATGGAAATTCAGTTGTCGACAAAAATTTTATCATTGAAAGTGTGAAATTTCCCTAAAAAAATATTTTCCTAATTAAAAGTTGTTTCTTTTTTTAAAAAAAAATAACAATAATGACATTTATGCAGGATTAAACTACTTAAGATTCCATTTACACACCTAAAACTCAACTAAAAATCCTCAAAAATGGTGTACAATACTTCANGAAAATTTTCACCAATAATTGTCTTAAATTTTGTGATTGATTAATATAAATCGTAAGAAAAAATGACTGGGAAGTGTAATGGAAATTCAGTTGTCGACAAAAATTTTATCATTGAAAGTGTGAACTTTCCCTAAAAAAATATTTTCCTAATTAAAAGTTGTATCTTTTTTTAAAAAAAAATAACAATAATGACATTTATGCAGGATTAAAGTACTTAAGATTTCATTTACACACCTAAAACTCAACTAAAAATCCTCAAAAATGGTGTACAATACTTCATTCCCTATTGTTGCAATATTGTAAAAATACCCTCAAAATAATAAACTTGAGAAAATAATGCACAAAGCTCCATTACTATCTCTTAGCACAAAAATTAACAATCCTAGAATATTCAAAACCAGTAGTTGCAAGCATGATATATTCCACCTTGCTTGCCTCCCCATCCCAATTCAGAGCTGGTTATTGTTGGAATTTTGCCTATATTTGACTTCTATTAATTGATAGTTAATTTTTAGTTTGTGAAAACGGTCTAAATTTATGGTTCATTGAGATGAGCTCAATATTATTAAAATGATCTATTTTGATGAACTTATTTACATCTTTTAATTGATGTGCTTGAGGCAGTTAAGTGTAGGCCTTAATCTAATTATGACTCATAATGGGAGAGCTCATTAGATTTCATTATAAATAGCAGACTAGGTCCCCTCTCCACTTAATAACCTTAATTTGACTTGTTCCATTGAGAGCCACCTATTATTTTGAAGGAGAGAAAGAACTTGCCCATTCACAAAAGAAATCCGGAGATCGAGTATCATGGCTCAAACAGATATGTTATAAACCTATATGATCCAAATCTTGTAATTTAGGTGTTCTAAATTTCATATACGAATTATTAAAATTTCTTACATATGGTATCAAACCCATCGTATATGAATTTAGAACCAAAGAAATTTATTTTTTTATGTATATTTTTATTCATCATATTTGGGAATTTCAAAACTTTTTTTAAAAATAAATTTGATATAAGTTTTGAACAACCCATAATATAATTGAAACATCAAAACCCCATCATATTGAATTACGCAAGAGCCTACGTGGGATTGACCCTTTAATTGCCCAAAACATAAGATCTTGATCTTCTTGATAGCAGGCATTTAAACATAGCTCATAAGATCTTGATCTTCC